GGGGGGGCACCCACACCCCGGCTCCCCTGTTATCGCTGCCCCCACCTCTGCAGGTTTTCACCTGCCTTTCTCTTGGGGGTGGGGCACTGACCCTGAGTTTGGAGCTCAATTTACATCCTTCACGGAAGGGGTTCACCCTTCACGGGAGGAAGGCGTGCGCTCCACCGCCCTTGCTGGATGCTCAGGCAAGCTGGAAGGGGCCGGGACGCGGAGAGGGCTGGTGCGGCCCCGCCACCCACCCATCGTGGCCCCTCGACTCTGCCCAGGACTCACCTTGTCCTTGTGGTGCTCCAGCCACTCGCGCAGCGCGGCCAACACCACCTCCGCGGCCGCCTCACTGGGGTAGCCTGGGGACCCGGCGGGGCCGCGTGAGTCCGGGCTCCGGCCCGCCCCCTCCCCGCCCCGGGACCCGCCCCGCCCCCTCCTCGCGCCTGCTCCCACTCACTTCCAAGTCCAGCTCCGCCAAGTTCTAGACCGCGCCCCGCCCCCCCCCAAGCCATATGCTGCGCGCCACTCACCAAACACGCCAGTGGAGATGCAGGGGAATGCCTGGGGCGGAGGAGGGAGGTGAGAGGGAATTGGGGACAGTGTCACTTCAACCGCCTCCTCTGAGGGGCCTTCTTCCTCCCCCTCTGGGCCGCCCTCGCCCCCCTCACCGCGGAGCGCAGCCGGTGCTCCAGTAGCAGGTCAAGGCTGCTCAGGTAGCAGCTGCGGAGCTCGGCAGCCTGGCTGGCGCTGGGCTCCCCGTGGGCGATGGGTCCCACCGTGTGGATGACATCTGCGGGAGGCAACGGGGTCAGACCGGCCGGGGTCTCCAAGCGGCCATCGGCTTTCTCCCCCCGCCCGCCCTGGAGAGGACAGGAAACAGGCCCTCTCCCCAAATTCTGAGAGGCCCCAGGGGAGGACCCTGCCCATGTGGGTGCAGAGGTGTGTCCTCCAATGCGCTGGGCCCCCTCCACACATCTGTATGGACCCGGCTGAGCCGTGGGGCGGCGGGGGTGAGCAAAGCCACTGCCGCCTCAGCTCCACGCATCCCCTCCCGCCACCTGCTTCCTGGTGCGTGCGAGGAGAGGCCGGTCCTGGCACTTAAGGTTAAGAAGTGACTCCGGAGGAGGCCTCCAGCAATTGTGTGGAGGCTGGTCCCCTAACCCCCCAATTACACAAGGTGCCCTGTCTGTGCCCCACAGGGAATTGGGACTCACACTTGGCCGGCAGCCGATAGCCGCCGGTGATCTTGGCCTTGCCGGTCTCGCAGTTCTGCAGGGTCCGGCACTCGTCGGTGAGGAGGGGTCCAGCGGCCCGGTGGATGCAGCCGTCCACTGCAGGGCAGGGGGCAGTGAGTCCTGGGGCTCCCGGCGTCACGTCTGAGCCCGTTTTACAGAAGAGGAAGCGGAGGCCCAAGCACAGAATACTCCCACCCCCCTCGGCTGGGCCAGGACTCACCGGGCACCGCGTACGCCTCCGCCTCCTGCGGCCTCCAGCTGCTCGCAAACACCCGCAGCCCCTACCTGCTCCGAGGCGCAGGCGGGCCGCAGCGGGTCCCGGCGGGAAGCGGCGCGGGGCGGCCGGCAGGGGGCGCGCCCGGCCCGCCCTGCGGGTCCCGGCCGCTCGGCAGGTGCGCAGGCGGGGCTGGTGGCCTCCGGAGGCCGGAGTGGCTCGGGAAGGCGAGGTCCGCGGCTGCAGGAACCGCCACCCTAGCCCGGCCAAGGGGAAGGTCGCCCGGCTTTGGCCCGGACGCGCCGTGGGGCCTGCGACCGGTGGCCGCCTCCGCCGGAGGAGCCCAGGAGCGCCGACTGGCACCGCGCAGACTGGCACCGCGCACCGGATCCCCAGGCGAGGCCCCTCCCGGCCGCGGCAAACTCTAGGACCCACTTGACAGATGATGAAACTGGGGTCACCTAGTTACAAGTGAGAGATGCGGTCCTCGAGCCTGCGTCCTCCAACCCGTTCCTTGCGCCAAGCGGGGAGGCGGACGGCGCCGCGGATCCGGGCCGCGCAGGTGGCTCCGGGCGCGCGCCCCTGCTCGTTATCGAGCCTCGTTAGCGCATCCGGCTTAATTGCGGTGTGCCCGGGCTTGTTTATCTGATCGCGGCTCCGGGGCCTTGGCGGCGACCCTGGGGACGCGGGCCCAGATAAACAACTCGGGCGCTGCGGGAGGAGCGGAGGAGACGCTCCTCCAGCCGGATCTCACCCGGGTGCCACAGCGTCAGCAGCTCTGGCGGGAAAGGCGGGGCTCGGCTCTCATCGCCCGTGCCAGTGGGGCACACCGACAAGTCTTGGCGGAGACCAGCGGGCAATAGCGACAGCGACCCCTTGCATCTTGGCCAGGAGAACGCGACCCACCTCTGGCAGCTCCCTAGCTCGGATGGCACCCCAGGCCTGTGCCAGGAGCTCCTTGGCACTAGCCATCAGTGCTCACGATGCCCAGCAGCAGGAAAGAACTCCCATTTCTCCATTTTGCAGATGCGCAAACCGAGGCCCTTCGGCCTTCATCACATCCTCCCCACCCCCAATGTCTTGGCAGAGGTCCAGAGACACCAGCTGGGCCACCCCCCCTTCTCTTTTCTTTTGTGCCCTGTGGGGCCCAATTAAGCCTAATTTTGTGACTTCACTTAGAGCTGGCACCGGACGATTTCCCAGAGCCTCCAGGGGTGGGGTGGGTGGGGGAGGGGTAAGGGCAGCAGTGGCCCAGTGGAGGGGGCGGAGTGGGGTCCCAAGGCAGGGCCCCTGAGCTACCTGTCCCGGTGCCGAGGCCTGCGCGGTGTCCGTGTGCAGTGTGTCTGGTGTGGGTGAGGTGCCAGCTGCCCACCCAGCAAAGTGCAGGGGCTGTGGAGCTGGGCAGCCCTGGAGTTCAAGGCCCAGTTCTGTCAGTCAGATACGTGTGGCCTGGAGCAGATCACTTAACTTCTCTGGATCTCAACTGCCCCGTCTGTAAAATGGGGTAGTCACAGACATCCCCCTCACAGTGCTCTTGGAAGGATTGAGCGCCTTAACTTCCATAAGGTGCTTAAGCCAGGGTCTGGCGTGGGTGAAGGTGACGTGCACATTGTCCTTAGGACAGTGTGATAGTATGAGGATGTGTGCCCTGTGGGTACACGTGTCACAGGTGGCGGTGTCCAGGCAGGTGTTAGAGTGTTCAGGGCCTATGCGGGTAATGACCCACAGGAATGGGTCTGAGCCGGCTCTCTGGGGCAGGCTGGGGGGGGGTCCTCTGGCCCTGCCCTAATGGTGCCTCGGCTGCCTGCCGTCCCCTGGCACTGTCCACCCTGCAGGCGACCTTGGCCTTCCGGGGAGGCTGTGCGGAAGTGAAGCTCAGCAAGATCTGTTTCAGGGACTTAATGTTTCCTGCAGAGGTGGACGGGCCTGCAGCCAGGCCTTGGGGGCTGACCTGAGGCCTTGAGGGGGAGGAGGGACTCGGAGCAGAAGCCTTGGGCTGGAGCGCCCCCAGCAGCTTCCAGGCCAGGGCTGGGTGACTGCCATGCAAGCGCCTAGGGGATCAGTTTCCCCAGGGCAGAGATGAGGGATAGGCTCTGGGCCCCACGCCTGCCCCGCCCTCTCCCCCAACAAGCCAGAGCACGACTCGCCTGCCCCCTCCCTGTCCACACACCGGTTCTACCATCCCTGAATGCCAGAGGGGACCTGCTGACCTCACCCAGAGGCCCAGAGGGTCATGCCTGCGCCCCCCCCGGCCCCGCCCCTGCTTCCTAGGCCCTGTCCTGGCTCTTACGTTGGGCTAAGCCCAACCCTGGAGACTGCAGGAGGTGGCTTCCTGGGGTCTCATCCGAGGGAGGTGTCCCCTCCTCTCCCCTCTCCACCTGAGCCTGGGGCTGCCTGGTGGGAGGGTGGTGACCCCAGTGCATACCAGTGGACCCTTGATCCCCTCTCTGGGACCTTGGGCCACATGCAAACAAACCTCAGGCCTCCAACTCAATCCCTGTTGCAAGTCAGCAGAAGACCTGGGGTCTCTCCTGGGGAGACTGACCCACGGGGGAGGGGCTTCTGCCAGGTCCAGAACCAAGCCTGCCCCACAGGCGGCTCTGCCCCCTCCCCCCCGTCACAGGCCCCCGGTCTGGCTCCTGAGTTCTAGCCTCTGCAGCCTCTTTGGAGCACCTGCTAGAACCTGAGCAGCGCGCACGCACACATGGCCACCCTAGCAGGTCCTACTATTTTCCCTCCCTTATAGAAGAAACTGAGGCACAGAGTGGATGAAAGACTGGCCCAGGGTCACACAGCTAGACTGCTCTACTTCCTCTAGGACCATAAAGGCAGTATCTCCCCGCCCCCCCAAAACCTTCCCTCCCACCCTGTCTGGCCCCCTCCTCCGCTCTCCTCATCCAAACTCCAAACTCAGCTCTGCGGCCTGGGCTCCCCTCTTCACTGCAGCAGGGCTCCTGTCCCCCTCTCCACATCCATACATTGTCCCCAACAGAGGGACTTTGGGGACCCTGGTTGCTGAGTGGCCTGGGGCCCCTCATCTCGTGTGACTGTTGGGCCACCCCCACGCAGCTGACCACTGGCTACCTCTGTCTGGCCAGGCTGCCCTGGAGACCCTCCCCACCGACCACCTGCCTCCCTGTCCTCTCCTGTCTGAGCCCCTCAGATGCCACCGCAGATGTCACCGCAGATGTCACCGCCGCTGCCACCTGGGGACCCTGTCTGTCCTCCGCCTTGCCCTTCCACCCCCTCCCAGGCTGTTCCCCCAGGTAAGCCCAGCCGGCCCTGCCCTCCTGCCTCTGCACGGGCACAGGGAGGGTGGGGG